GAGGCCCAGTGCCCGGTGGGCCCATTGATGGGAGTGTCATCCGTAGCTTTCTTGGGCACGTCGCCTCTCGCATGTGGAGTGGGAATTTGAGGGGGCTGCTGAAATGCCACAACAGACTGCGAGCGATCGAGAATCTGAAGGCTTGGCGTGAAGAGATGTCTTCCGATGCGGGAGCTCTTCTCGACCAGACCGGGCTGTCATATTTGGTCGACTCCATGCACACCCACTTGGACACCCCACTCCTTTCTGCTTTTGTGGAGCGATGGCAGCTGGATACTAACTCGTTTCACATGCCTTTTGGTGAGATGAGCATCATGCTGCGCGAACAATAGCATAGACAAAATTAAAAAGCACGTATTCTCATAATACATTTTTTTAATTAATTTTTTTTTTAAAACGTATTATGGTAATACGTTTTAAAATTATATTTGTAAAATATTTTTTTTAAATCATTGAAAAACGTATTTCAATAATACGTTTTATAAAAACAATTAATAAATAAAACATATTTTGATAATATGTTTAATAAATAATTAAGAAAGTTTAATAAATAATTAAAAAATAAAACGTATTATCATAATACGTTTTATAAATAATTATTTATAAAACGTATTATATATTTTAAAATTAATGAAAAAAATTAATATGTAGTATGTATTTTGTGTTTTGGGCTTGTTTGGGCTCGTCTGAACTCGGAATTGAGTTCTGTTTTTTTCTATACGTAGCTAACGAACCCCTCTATTCAATGATACTTGCATGGCCAAATTGTTCTTGAAATCATATTCTCTCAAAGCTCTTGACCGATACATTAAACGTGTTTCGCGCGACTTTTCTTTTTGGGCCCGTTCGGACTCGTCCAAGCTCGAACTTGATTTCTGCTTCTTCCTATATGTCGTCAAGGGACCATTCTACACCATGATTGCCTGGTCTATTTTCGAGATAAATCTATTTTTCACGGGCTAAATAATTAACAAACCACCCATTATATAAATAGATGGTCTATAGAGGATTTGTTAATAGGTGATTTGTTAATTATTTATCCCCGTGAGGAATAGATTTAATCCAAAAATTGACTAGACAATCATGGTTGTGTAGGCGGGTTCGTTGGCGACATATAAGAAGAAACAGAACCCAACTACGAGCTTGGACAAGTCCGAACGGGCCCAAAAAACTAAGTCGCACGAAATACGTTTAATGTGTAAGTCAAGAGCTTTGAGAGAATATGATTTCAAGAATAATTTGGTCATGTATGCATCATTGAATAGAGGGGTTCGTTAGCTACGTATAGGAAAAAACGAAACTTAATTCCGAGCTTAGACGAGTCCGAACGGGCGTTGTTGTCGTTCGCGGTCACGACGTCTTCTACCTCCACCAATGTTGGCAGTGGGTTGATGCCTCGCTCTGTGTGACTGTGTACTCTGGGATAGGACGTAGATCCTCTTCGGATAGAACTTGATTGAATGATGCCCCTTGTGTAACCTCTTACCTCTTGGCCTCCAATAGTCAGAGAACTATAGGTACTCTCCTGGATGAGTGCACAGAAGATCAACATATTTGGATGTATAGGAGGTGGATTTTCTGTTGGAACATACGTGAAGTGCACTTTTCTGATAAGGTTCTCCGTCAGTTTGGGTGTCAGCAGTCCATCCCCCAAAATTCGATGATTAGTGGTGAACAAGAATGAAAGACACACCACAAAGGTCGTGGAATGACTGAGAGGGCATTTGGTGATCGGGCCGCCTTTCATTCACAGCTTACCAAGGGCTGAGTCGATGAAAGAGAACAAAATGTCCTCCAAGATGCCCCTATGGATCACTTTCTACAGGCTAAATAGGGTTACATTGATTGGTTTTACACTAGAACTGTAAGACTTATCAGTGACCCTACCAAGTACACGGTGGTCCAACAGGACGGCGACTATCAGACATTTGCCGAGCGGGAGAAGTGCAATGTAAGTGTTCATAATTTGTAGATTTTTATTATTTCTTTTTTTCTTTTTTGGTGTTTCATACTGATTACTTTGAATTTTATTTTCAGACTGAAGCCCTGGAAGGGGTTTATAACTCGTTAGTGAATATTCAAGATATATTTCCTACACTCCCTCCACGGGCGCAGGCCGCATTCCAACAGTCCTACAACATTGTCTACAGTTATCTTACCAACAGTCCTACAACATTGCCTATAGTTCTCTGACTGTTGGAGGCCAAGAAGTTACACAAGGGGTGTCGTTCAGTCAAGTTCTATCCGAGGAGGACTACATCCCATCCCAGAGTACACAATCACACAGGGCGAGACATCAACTGCCAACATTGGTGGAGGTAGAAGACGCCGTGACAGCAAACGACAACAATGCCCGTTCGGACTCGTCTAAGCTCGAATTGAGTTCCGTTTCTTCATATATGTCGCCAACAAACCCGTCTACACAACTAGGATTGTCCGGTCAATTTTCGGGTTAAATCTATTCCTCACAGGGTTAAGTAATTAACAAATCACCTATTAACAAATCCTCCGTGTACCATCTATTTATATAATGAGTGATTTGTTAATTATTTAGCCCATGAGGAATAGATTGAACCCAAAAATTGTCTATAGTTTTCTGACTGTTGGAGGCCAAGAGGTCACACTAGAAGCGTCGTTCAGTCAAGTTCTATCCGAGGAGGACTACGTCTCATCCCAGAAAACACAGTCACAGAGGGCGAGACATCAACCCCCTGCCAACATTGGTGGAGGTAGAAGACGTCGTGACCACGAACGACAACAACGCCCGTTCAAAATTGAGTTTTGTTTTTTCCTATACGTAGCTAACGAACCTCTCTATTCAATGATGCATGCATGACCAAATTATTCTTGAAATCATATTCTCCCAAAGCTCTTGGCCTACACATTAAACGTGTTTCGCGCGACTTTACTTTTTGGGCCCGTTCGGACTCGTCCAAGCTCGAAATTGATTTCCGCTTCTTCATATATGTTGCCAACGAACCCATCTACACAACCATGATTGCCGGTCAATTTTCAAGTTAAATCTATTCCTCACGGGGCTAAATAATTAACAAATCACCTATTAACAAATCCTCCGTGGACCATCTATTTATATAATGGGTGATTTGTTAATTATTTAGCCCGTGAGGAATAGATTTAGCCTGAAAATTAACCGGACAATCATGGTTGTGTAGATGGGTTCGTTGGCGTCATATTGGAAGAAGCGGTAATGAATTTTGAGCTTGGACGAGTCTGAACGGGCCCAGAAAGCAAAGTCGCGCGAAACATGTTTAATGTATCGGTAAAGAGTTTTGAGAGAATATGATTTCAAGAATAATTTGGCCACGCAAGCATCATTGGATAGAGGGTTCGTTAACTATGTATAGAAAAAAACGAAACTCAATTCCGAGTTCAGACAAGTCCAAACGAACTCAAAACACAAAACACATACTATATATTAATCTTTTTTTTCACTAATATTGAAATATAAAACGTATTATCAAAATACGTTTTATAAATGTATAAAACGTATTTTGATGATACATTTTATAAATAATTAAAAAATTAAATGTAGTTGAATAATATATTTTAATTTTTAATTATTTATTTAGTTTTTAATTATTTGTAAAATGTATAACCAAAATATGTTTTATTTATTATTATTTTTTTTAAATATATTATGTGAATACGTTTTACACTAAAGCGTATTGTCGGAATACGTTTTACATTATAAAACGTATTTTGAAAATACGTTTTTTATGGTTTTGATTTTTGTTCACATATTTTTAATTTTTTTTATTTTTGTCCATTTAATTTTTTTTTTAAATAAATAAATAATTCCCAGTTTTCCCCTAGTCATT